CACTTGATTTCGTTTCAAAACATCGCTTTTCCTTAAAGTTTTCATCGCGTAAAGATGATTGGTGTCGATTTTCTTCACCAAAGTAACCTCACCGAAAGCCCCCACGCCGATCGGTTTAATTTTCACAAACATACTCTCATCCATTTTCGCCCGTTTCAACCGTATGTAATTCGATTCTTTTTGCGATAACATTTTGCGCATTTGCAACCGATCGTCGGGTTTCAGATCGATTTTACTCATCTCGTTTTCGAGTTGAATTTTACGATAAAGACGTTGTTTGTACGATTTTATGACGTTTTCGACGTGTTGTTCCATAAAAAATTTAAATGCCTGCGGGGAATAATTGCGCACTTTTGAATCGCGCCGTTCTTCCTCTTTTTCTTTACTAATTTGTTTCCGTTCGGGGATCGGTGATTGATGTTTTATCGTTGTAAATGGAGGTTGTTGACCTTCTGAACGATTATCCGAATTATTTTTTGTGTTGTTGACGTTGTTTTTTGATATTACCGATGATGAAGCTAGTAAGGAAATATAATTAATATTTTTAATTATTTATTTAATATAAAGAGTTTTTCATTAAGAGCGACGCATTTTATTTTTTCAATTATAAGACTTGTGGGTTACTTATGAAAATGATTTTTTTGCAAATGAAAGTATAAATTGATGTTATTATTTATGGAATACGACATCAATTTACAATTTACGACACACGTACAATTTTGGGATTCGGCTGAAATACCAGGAATTTCGCGTTCAATGTTGGCTTGCAGCTCTTCTAACGTTGCTGGCTTATTGGCATAGACTAGCGACAGTGCGATACTAATCGCACGAACGAGACGGCCATTCCCGAGCACCGTTGCGTGAAATAACTTGCTCTGCAAACTTGGTCTTCAATAATTCGATGGTGTCGTACGCTGTATAGCACGTTGGACCATCCTGTTGGAACCAAGTTCGTAGCGTCGAGCTGGTCCCAAAAATATTCCGATATCATGGCCCTCTAATATTCCGTTGATGGTTGTTAGAGCGCCATTTTCATCAAAAAAGAAAAATGGGCCGATGACGCCGCCGGCATAAAAACCGCACCAAACAGTTAATTGTTTCGAATAAAATTGTGTCTTCAGACTGCTCACTCGTCCAAATGCGACAAACTTTCTTGTTGACAAAACCATCAAGCCAGAAGTGGGCTTCACCCAAAAAGATGATTTTCTTGTGAAAGTCGTCTCAGCTTGTATCTCGTGCAGAGCCCAATTAGCTAATTTGCGACGCTTAAAATGGTCGGTTGGATTCAGTTCTTGAGTCAACGCAATGTTATACGAGCGGAGAGCCAAATCGTTCCGCAAAATTCGCCACAAACTGGTCACACTGATGTTCAACTGGATGCGACTGCTCACGCACACTTTCTCGAACGACCACAATATTTTCTTCACTTCATTAAGGGTCATCATAAAATGGATCTATTTGAATATCATGAAATTTTTGAATACAATAAAAATCCAAAAATAACTATTATAAATGAACAAATTGAACTCCAAAGCTAACCGCTTTTCACCTTTCTTCGTTGATCTTGCTCCATCTCTTTTATTCCCGTCCTGTTATACAGGGTGAGTCAGAAAGAATAGGAAATCCGAATACCGGAGACACTAGACAATAAAATATGACGATTTAACCTAACATGTCTTATACAAATGTCGGTGGTTTTTAATACACAGGGTGTTGAAAGTTAAATTTTTATTTCGAAATTTCTTTAATTTTGAAGATTTTTGTATTATTAACATAAAATTTGGCAGTTAGATGTTTTCGAGCATGAAAAATACGAATTTGATATTTGTTTTGTGATTACTCGTAGAGGGCGCTAGATACACACTGTACGTTTGAGATATCAAGTCATGACTATTTTGTCAGTTGAGGTATGGTGAATTAGAACCAGAAATCTGAAGGAGTTTTCAATTCTGCACAAAAAAGGTACTCTTGCTTACATTGTCTAAGTCTACTGGTTTCCAAGTTATCTGCTTTTAATTGTTTCAAAGTAATTTTAAGGTTAACATTTAAAATCAATAACACACAGTAACTATAGCAATTAGTAACGATAATAATCGATAACAATAACAATTAATTAATAACAATAGAATATTGTGACCATTTTCAAAAATCCAGTGGACTTAAATCTGGATTTCTCACTATTAAAAAACTCATTATG